CTTTCAACATGAAGCCAGAAAATCGGGACTTTTTTAAAATGCCCTGGGACACGGGACAAATTGTTATAAAGCGTGACTGTCCTGCTGAAATCGGGATGTCTGGTCACCTTAGTTTAACATGGACCAGAATCAAGACTGGAAAGACAAGGAATAATGCTCAATAAGCAGCTTTATGATGAATGAAACAAGTCATTCAATTAAAGAAGGAGACCCTGAAGTAGGAGTAGCCACTCAGCAAGCCTTTTCAACCAAAGAATAAGAAACACTGAGAGTGGGAGTGCTTGGCCAATTTCCCCTCTATTATCATGTTTCTATAGCTTGATATTAGTATACAGAATAGTTGTAACCATTTCCAGCCTCTTTTTTTTTTAATCCAAATATTACTCTCTTAAGAACACAACTTGTTTGATCTCTGTTTTTCAATGCCAGATGTGAAACCTCTGCCACGAGCCAAAATTTTCAGGCCTCCATAATGCAATAAAGCAGGATGCAGCTATTGACTGAGATGCTAAGCTCTGTATAGCTAGTATAGTGATGCAGAACCATCAGAGCAGTAAGCATATGATGCATATTGTCTGTTACAACACATGATTAAATAAGTCAATCCATTCGGCTGTTTTCCAAAAGGTTTTCCACAATATTAACAGCATTGTTTTTCAAACTTTTAATTAACTATAGAAAATTTGAACTATTGTGCTTGTGCACCCCAACTAACATGGCTAAACAACAGGGATTGTAAAGTTGGAAACATACAAAAGGTGGCTTATCTGTAGTCTAGAGATACTGAAAGTGTTGAATATGAATGGCAATTTAAAGGGTGATGTTCATTCTTCCATTTTTTTTCTCATTATATAACTCCAATTGAGCAAGTAGCAAGAACAACATGGTATGATAGAAAGGCTACTTAGCACTGAAGGAAATAAAAACCTTTGGTACATTTGAAAGCCTATGAAAATATGCATATTGACTTCTGCCCCTCTTCAGAAAGGAACATCAAACATACTTCTATAACAGTCAACAGTTTTAGGGATTTTAAAACTTTAAAGTACAAATTTGATCCTGAAAAAAGAGTGAGAGATGAGAAATTTAAAGAACTAAAGGCCAGGCATGGTGGAAGTAAACATAATTGCAAAGACAGAAAGATTTGGAAAGAGATAATGGATTATCTTGCTGAAGGTTAGTTTTAGGTATGTTTCTTATCAGATTCATTATTTTCACTTACTATTTCATACTTCTTTTTTGTGCCTTTATACTGTTTGCTTATCCCAAAATGGAATAGCATATGTGTATGGATATGTATGTATATATGTATGTATGTATTTTAAATAAATACATGTATTTATTTAAATGCATGTAACATTTTAAATAAAATGTATTTCAGACAAGAGGCTTTTACAAAATACTGGCACTGTATGCTAACTGAATAAGCACATCTGAGCTTTTCTTCTGATATGATGAGAACTTTGCCAAAATGGACTTACTTGGACTTAATCTTCGTAAATGTCAACATCCACAAGGCAGTGACCGTTGCATTGTGAAGGCCAAAGGCAGAACGTCACGGATTACAGAGGTGTTTATCCGTGTGTTGTCCTGCCATTGGATTCTCACCTTGTTTCACGGTTCTGTCGCCACGGGAACCAACACTCCCCATTTATCCGGGCTTGTGACCGGCTATGGTTTCCCATAGGCTGGGTTTTGCCAAAATAAATAATTGTGTACTATTAGCACATGTAGATATGTTTTAAATAACTAGTATATATGGAATTCAGTGCATTCTACTGAGATAAATACAAGTATCTCACATTCTTGTTTTTCACTTATTTGTCCTTATCCAATAAATGTTTTACTTTCCCTAAAAACCATGTTACCAAGACTCATAAACACATGTCCCATAGCAATTATCAAAGGATGAGATTTGTCACTGAATCTATGTTGTGAGCCTTCAAACTGAAATGGCAATGTTTTTATAATGCAGATAATAATATACGTGGGGAGGTTTCTGTATGTAGAATATCCCAATTTTCTTCTGGAATGTTCCTTTCTCTGGTCAGGCCAGAATCAACATAAGGAATTCTACCAAAAGAGAAAAACATAGGAACTTTTGTGTATGGCTGTAAAAGGATTCTTGGAAACTTGCTTTATTACAAGTTTATATTTAACTTGCTGGTCAATAGATGTTGTTTAGTTACTAAACATCTATAATTCCCCTCATTTTTTAAGTGAAACTTTTTCTACAAAATGAGATCCTGTTTTAAAATTTACAGTATATAAGATGATGAAAAAGTTCTAAGTATACAGAAGCCTGTGTGAAGTTCCATCCTGAGAATGTATTAATACTTTCAGTTGACTTCCAGAAAGCCTGCCTGTAAATTCTATTAAATCTCACATCGGCCCCCACACATTCTTCTAATTCCGGTTTAGCCAAGCTTGGTAGCTCTTTCCTTTTCAGGTTTGTAAAAATGTGTGCAATTTTTTCTTCCATTACTTAACTGTTAATAATTGGAGGAAACTGACCAACTTAAATGGAGTAGGGATTGCGTTAGCAGTTGCCACAGAAACTGCAATCCAATATAAATATCTTACTGCTCGTCTATTTATCATCTGTTTTCAGGGCAGTTTAAGCTGCTGGAACAAGACCGTGATATTAAGGAGCCAGTGCAGTATTTTAACAGTGTGGAGGAGGTGGCTAAAGCATTTCCTGAACGAGTTTACGTCATGGAGGAAATAACATTCAACGTTAAGGTAGCCCCTAAACAAATGTTTATCCCAAGTTAAATGGTTTATGATTAAGCCATTTTTTTAACATTGCAATTGTGCAATATATTGAACAAAAAGTAATTTGGGATTGTGGTTTTCTCTTAATCTGTTTGTGTACATTTTGCTTAATCTGAATTTGAGGTTATTAATCTTGCAAAATATGAAGACCTTTTCAAGGAGGGAATCATCTCCAATCAACAATGTTCTTTTCCAGGGTTCAACTAGAATATTGCTTCCAAATTTTAGACACAGCTTCTTCTGTTGTACACCCCCTCCCTCACCTCTGACCCCTTAGATTTTATTTGGTAAAGGAGCAGCTGTTTCACTCACTCTACACTACGTTTTAGGTCACATAAAGACAGTATATATTGTAATGGTTAGTAATATCTACTTTTCAACTCAGATGACTGAGAATTATTAAATAATTATAGAAAAGCAAAATAATAATGCATTGGTTATAATTCTCCTGTGTGCTTCTCAGGGAATCCAATCATGGGTTAACTTAGCCCTTTAGCCTTGAGACTGAGTATGTAAATTTTTAAACCACGCCTCCTCTGGCTGGACCTNAAACTCTAAACTCTCTCAAAGGGTGCCCATTCAAGGAACTGCATTCAGGTTACGACGGATGCCAGTCTATTCGGGTGGGGGGCCCATGCCCTGGACCAAATCGCACAAGGTCTCTGGTCGAGCCAAGAGCTGAGCAACAGCATCAATTGGCTGGAGCTCTGGGCCATCTGGCTAGCCCTCCCAAGAGTTCCAGGACATTGTATCTCACAACCACATATTGGTCTTGACCGACAATGTGGCCTCCAAGGCCCATGTCAACCACCAAGGGGGCACCCACTCCAGGGCCCTGATGCTGGAGGCGGAGAAACTACATCACTGGGTGGAGAACAGGCTGTTGTCACTTCGGGTGGAACACATATCGGGCGATTCCAACACTCAGGCGGCCTGGCTGAGCAGAGCCACGGTGGACCAAGCGGAGTGGCAGCTCCACCCTGACCTCTTCCAGGAGCTCTCTCACTGGTTCGGCCATCCCGAGGTGGACCTGTTCGCACAGCCTCACAACACGCAACTACCGTGATTTTACACCAGGTACGTGACACCCGGGACAGAGAGAGTGGATGCCCTGCGCAGCCCGTGGCCGGCCGGCCTCCTTTATGCCTTCCCGCCTCTACCGATCCTCCCGCTGGTCATCCAAAAGATCCTGACGGAACAAGCGGAGGTCCTGTTGGTGGCTCCGATGTGGTCCCGGCGTCCCTGGTACGCAGACCTCGTGCACCTGTTGATCTCACATCCGAGGAGGATTCCGGATGACCAGATCCAGCTCAACCAGGGAGCTCTCATCCACCCGAACCCCCAGCAGCTGCAGTTAGCCGTGTGGCACATGAGTGGGCTATTCTAACCGGACTACACTACTCAAGTAAGGTCATTGACACTATTCAAGCGGCCCGTCGTCCATCTACTACTCGTATATACGAGGCCACCTGGCAGGCCTTCTGCCGGTGGTGCCGCCGCACCAGGGCCGACCCTCTCAAGGCTTCGGTGCCCCAAGTCTTGGACTTCTTACAAACGGGACTTGACAAGGGTTTAGCACCCAACACACTTCGCAGGCAGGTCACGGCCTTAGCCACGGTAATTGGGGATGGCCAGGGTCGTTTATTGTCTCAACACTCACGAGTCAAATCCTTTTTGAAAGGTGCTGCTAACCTCAGACTGTTCATCGTTACCCTACTTGGGACTTGACATTAGTGCTCAGAGCTCTTATGGCCTCTCCATTCGAGCCTATTACATCCATCAGCCTTCGGTTGCTGACTCTTAAGGCTGTGTTTTTGTTAGCTATTACATCGGCCAGGAGGGTGTCCGAATTGGCAGCGCTGTCAGTTCGAGCAGACCTCTGCATATTCCATCCCAACAGAGTCGTCCTTCTTTTGGACCCGGCCTTCCTGCCAAAAATCAACACATTATTCCACAGGGCTCAGGAGCTCATCCTTCCGGATTTCTGCCCCCGCCCTTCCCATCCGCAGGAACACCAGTGGCACCACCTGGATGTGCGCAGGACTCTTCGACGCTATGTGAAGTGCACCGCGTTCTTCAGACGGTCGGAAGCACTTTTTGTGTCCTTTCAACCATCATCCATGGGGCAGAAGGTATCTTCCCATACCATCGGCCAGTGGTTGAAGGCGTGCATCGCTCTTGCTTATGACAGCCAATCCCGACCGGTTCCCAGGTGCATCACCCCTCACTCTACCAGGAGTGCGGCCACCACGGTGGCCTGGGCCACACAAGCCTCAGTGGAAGAGATTTGCAGAGTGGCTACCTGGTTGTCACCATTAGCATTCATTAGACACTACAAGGTTGATGTGTATGCCTCGGCTGAGGCCTCCTTTGGGCGGCGAGTATTGCAACGGGTGCTCCCTTCTACAGTGGACCCTGGCCAGCCAAGCTCCCGCCCTGTCACTTAATTGCTTTGGCATGTCCCATGCTTGGATTCCCCAAGCAGCACACAGGAGAACGACCGTTGACTTACCTGAACAGTCCTTTTATGTGTGCTGCGAGGGGAATCCAAACCCGCCCGCAGCTTTGGCTGGCCAGGGCTATCTTATGACTCTGACTCAATGACTATTCCTTATCTGACTACTGACTTGACTTTACTCTGGACGTGACTTTAAGAGTTGTTTGGCTACGGCCATCATTGACATTGCTGCACATCGTTAACCAGCTGACTTCGTACAAAACTGACCCATCCAGTCAGAGGAGACGTGGTCAACATTTGCAAAACTCAGTCTCTAGGCTAATGGACAAAGTTAACCCATGCTTGGATTCCCCTCACAGCACACATAGAAGGACCGTTCAGGTAAGTCAACGGTCGTTCTCCTGTGTGCTGCTTGGGGAATCCAAGCATGGGACATGCCAAAGCAA